CTAAAGAAATTTTTCCAAGAAGTATTATAAATAAAATAAGGCTTTGATGTGCTGTAGAGCGTGCCGGTTCACCTTAACATCTCATTGCAGGTCAGTAATTGTAAACGGCCTCGTTGAAGTGGTGAAACCAAATGGCGAACGAGTAGAATATAAACTGGGGGACTCCTTTGGTGCTGAGCCAAACCCAGCTGTACAATATCATGTTGGCGAGATGCGGACCATGGTGGATGACTGCGAGTTTGTGCTTGTTGAACACAAGGTTCGTGAATCGGTTGGTCAAGAAATAGCAAGATTATGGAGGTTTTATAGGATTTCTGCTCGATTATGTCCACCATTGGGGAGCATATTGAGAAAGATCGCGATGGACTGACTGGTGAAGTCGTATCGGAGACAGAGCGGAGAACTGTTGGAAGTCAAGTGGGACTTGTGCTGATCAAGGGAAAGGTTAGCTTGTTCATTTCAAGGTTCACCCACACTTAAAGATAATGAGCATTTCAAATACATTTTACAACAAAGAAAAAAACTATTGGTTTTACGAAGAATTTGAATTCTTTTAGCCAGACAAACTCATTCAACATCTTGTTGATGAAAGAGACAGCAATGTGGATCCGCATTATGTGGACGATTTCCTACTTACCTATCGAGTATTCATTCATAATCCTACGATAATATTCGAGAAATTGATGATGTGGTTTGCTGACACTGCACTGAGGGATAAGGTTCGTCAATCTTCTTTTGCTGCTCCTCGTTAAACTATCGTCTTGTTCCGAGCCTTGAAATATCATTTTGCTTTCGCTTTCGTCTTCCTCTCTGAAGAATCTTAATGCCTTTGGCATTGAATTATAGAACCATGATTTCTTATGTTCTACATGAGAATCACCCATGCCAACAATCATTTTCTCATTCATAGCGCTCCCAATATCCAAACACCGCATCAGAGTTGAATGGCATAGCGTAGAATATCGAGCTTGACCTATTTCTTCTGTTTTTTTAAAGGTTTAGATGAGAGTGCATGTAGATTTTTCCTCCGATTGAATGCCCTTCTCTTATTACAAGTGGCTGGAAACGGGAGATGTGACCTTTACTTTTCCTACAAATAAAACGAAGCATTTTGGGGCAAACGCTTTTTTGATAGATATACAATAATTGAGAGAAAAACGCATTGTAGCTGAAGATGTGTGGTAGAACTAGTTAGCACAAAGCTTAAGCAAAGCATGCAGCGTTTGCCGCACTGTATCTTACATGTTTGATAAATAACCGCTTTGTGACTGTCTTGTTGACTAGAGGTGAGAGATGTTCTTGAACTTTCAGAAATTAACCCCCATGTTTTTACGTTCCTTTTATATTCATCATTTAAAAGTGAATGCTATAACTAGCATGTCAGTATTTGGGATCGCTTTCCTTTTGTTTTCTTTGTTTTTGTGTGAGAGCCTTTGTAAGAGTTTAAGAAGACCAGTAAGGCATCCATACATGGGTACTATAAGTTATAAAAAATTACTGATTAACTTAATTAAAAATTCTGCTGTATTCATGCATAAACTGTTTACTTTACAGTCACATGATATTTTTAAATGTTGTTTGTTTACGTCATTGATACTTTTATGTTAAAATTTGATTTATCTTTCAGATCGCGCGGATAGTCTTGTTGTGGGTAAATAATCATTACAACGATTTTGAAACGAATGACGAGATGACCAAGCTTCTCGAAAGGTGCGCTATATTATTTTCTCTGACCTTTTGTTTTGTTTCTCTTAATTCGTTCAATATCAGGTTCGAAGGTGCGTTAGAACGCGATGGTATGCATAGTCAACAGAGCTTGCTCAA